CCAGAGACACTTTGTCTATAGCTGAGAAAAATATACATGCACTTGGAGCAAAAGTCAAAGTTATCCTGTTTAGTGTAGCCAATAGCAGTCTGTGAGATACTTTCATACCTCATTTAATCATAATTAACAAACTCTCCATGTGGACATTCTGTATGCAGAGGTATAATTGCAGCGCATATGAATAATAACTGGAGCCTAGAGTGTATGCCTGTGTATGTGCATCTCTTCTCTGTAGCCCATGACTATACGCACGCGAGAGTCAATGGCAGAGTGGCACGGGCAGTGAGCGCGATCACGTTTCTGTCTGCAGTAGCGGAGTGCCCCTAAACACCACCCGACTTAAGTGGCACAGATGTACACGGTGCGAACCTCGGCCACAGCCAGAGCCACCGCAATGGACCAAAACTCATCACCAGGACTTCATTTATGTCTGGTCGTCGAGTTCAATGTCTATAAATATCTCTCGTAGCTGAGTTGGAGAGAGGAAGAGCGGTCGTGGGCGACACACAGGAACAATGTTCGCCGCATGTTAAGCTACTGTTGAATGTAGGTGGCGGAGCGCTGTCGCTGTCCCAGGTGCTGAAAGCTCTCGTCAGTCGATCTGCGGCAAGCTTGCGAGACAGTAAACGATTTTTGGTCGAGGCAATATGCATGGCCTGACGTGACTGTTGAACAATAGCAAGTCGGTTAACATAGCTCTAGTCAGTGTAAATGGGATCTCACGTCCTCTAATTAAAGGATGGAGAGATTTTTCCTGTCAACCGTGCCATTGCTAATTATCAGCTGTCTCGGTGTCTCTCGCGTCTTAGCGGGTAAGTTAATGTTTATGTATCAGCATTTACTCACCCATGCATTCACGTATTTGCCTTGTAGTGAGAACTCTAAGGTTAATGTGCGAGCATTAGGGGGACTGCATTGGTTTCCGTGTAAATAAAACAATGGGAAAAAGTGAATGTTTGTGCTAATTTGTTCCTAATTTGCATTTAGGCTATATTCTGTGTAATGAATGAGGAAGCCTGTGTGTGTGTGTAAGAATCTGTATTGATAAAATGCTCCAGACATGTTATACTGGTACTGATCTATACTGGTAAAGAAACACTCTAAACAGGCCATGGAACAAGAGCAGTTATGTTTTCGGATTTAAAGGCTAAACAAATACATTTGCAATAATTCAGCACCAATCGTTTCCAGTATGTTTTATTACTGTGGCCTATTTTATATTTACTACCATATAAGCAAGAATAACAGTATCCTTTCATCCAAGCAGTTGCCAAGTGCTTGCATTCATAAGATTTAGACTGATATGACGTTAAACTGACTTAACCAAAACAGGTTTATAGATAACCAACAATGTGTGTGTTCCAAGTAAAGCTGACCTTTGAATTTAATTAAGTAGTAAATGGTACAGGTACAACCCCACTATCTCTGAAATGAAATAGCTTTAATAATATTAAAACAATTTAAAACTTTAAAATCTGTAATTAACCTAATTAGTTCACAGAAATATCATTTTCCAGGCTGATTCACATGTACTGTTATCACAGAATGATGGAGTAGGATATTCACAGTAATATGTAATATCTATACAGCAGGGACCAAACTAATATCCATTAGGATCATGGCATTACAGTGAATGTACCATTGGCACAGCTTGCTATAAAATCTGTGGAGGAAAACAACCATTTAAAATTGTTCCTTGGAAGGCTGCTGGCTCATCTATGCGTGGGAGTGAACCCTGGGAATAGACTGAAGAGAACCCCAGCGGAATCTATTACCCCGTAATGTACGTTCCCTAAACACTTGAGTGCTGTAGCTTTCACTGCTCATCACACTGACACACTACTGCAATCAGAATTCACCGCCTCCCCCTCTACAGTGTTTGCATTTCAGCTGGATTGTATCTCTCTCTCTCTTCTCTCTCTCTCTCTCTCTCTCTCTCATAAATACACACAGACACTTAGGTTGTGTCTACACTTGACACCTACATGCGACATCTGCTGTCAGAATACAAAACATTATTTGTGGTCTGATTGTGTTCAGATCTGGCTGACCACTTCAGAAGGTGGTCAGGGATGCAATGTGTGCGGTTTTCTCCTCAGTCTGGACGCAATCAGGCTACCGAAAGCGCATATAGTGGGCGATGTCATCAGCACTCCTCCCACAAGTCTCCAGAAAACGTGTGTTTTGGGACCGAGAGGCACCTTTTCATTATAACGTTGGAGGAAATACGTTCCTAGCATGTGAGGAACGTGTTTGCTGGCCTCATAAATGCTAGCCAGCTAGCTAATATTTAGAAAAATATTTGTTGTTTGGCTAGAGTTATGCTAACCCATTTGCAATCCCTTTAGCGTTGCATGCTAGCTACAGAGATTAGCTGGCTAGTTAGCTACAGTAGTTGGCTACTGCCATCAGTTGTTGTTGTGTTATCATATTTAGCCTATTCCACTGTTTGTAAAATGCATACTGGCATTTGAATATAGCGCGGGAATAGGGAATCTGGACACACTGTGGACACGGTAGACACATTTAGGTAGGTGTAGATGCATGACACATTTGGAATTCCATGAACAGAACTCTATGATCAGAATAATAAAGCTGCATGAACTGTCAAGTCTAGACACGACCTTAGACATAGCCTAGACACACATACATGCACACTTGCACGTAGGCTACACACACCCTAAATGTGTAGGCACATCACATTTCGTAGAAAGGGGAGTGCACATATGGGTGGCATGGGCTCATAATTGTTTCATACATTCTGATTGTGCGGGGGCGATTGAATAAAACATTGATTAATGAGCCAGTCCTGCAGGCAGTGCAGAGAGAATGTGCTTCTAATCCCTCCACCATCTACATCAACCTCCTTATAGCCACAGCAATATACGCCTATTGTATGATGTCATCTCACAAGACAGTACTGTACTAGAGAGCCAACACACATATTGTAGCAATGCAGCCAGATCATGGATCTAATGGTGTTCTTCAATCCAGTGGACCTAGGGATATACAGTGTGTGCAGGCTTTTGTTCCAGCCCAGTACTAACACCCGGTGGGTTTCCAGGACCAGGTTTGAAGAACACTCAGACAATCAGAGAGACCATTAAACCTCTTCCTCTTCCATGTCCTTAGTAAAACTGTTGACTGGAGAGAGTCAAGGGCACTTGTGGATGGATATTTGATTGGAGTGGATTGAAGTAGACTTGCACTTGTCTAAGGTACTCTTAAAATAATCTTCAGAGAGCCAACATAGAGAACATAGAAACAAAGGAAAGCATGACAATCAGAGGAGAGAAGCTCCAAGGTCCTGAGTAGGACAGATAGATTGACAGAAGCGTGTGGGTGTACGTCAACACGCTGTAAACTTTACATTTGTGACGTCCTTTAATCTGTTTCTGTTTATGGTGAGTCATGAAGTATCAGTCACCCTGGATGAGGAATGTAAAGCTAATGTTACCATTTAAAATGTAAATTAACTTCAACACCATCTTAGCGAGGTTGTAAATTCCACCAGCCAGTCCCTGCTCCTAGACAGACTTGCCATGAAACACAATAAATCAGTCAATCAACCCATCAAATCAACCAATCAATCAAGTAATAAACAGTAACCAATAGAAAAGCCCAGCATATCCTTTGAGAGCCTTTCAAGTTCTGATGAAACGAGTAGCTATTCTAAAAAGCCTTGTTTTTTTACTGTAAAATGCAACATGACTATTACACTCCCCCTATGAGGATTCTAACACTGGCGAACCAGAGGAGTCTTGGCACTCCCCAACTGATTCTCAGTAGCAGCAGTATATTAACTGTCAAGTGTCAAGTCATCACACCATCCACCTGTAGGAGTTACAGCACCCAGACAGAGGAGCCAAAGGTCGTTAAACAGACTCATCATCTCCAGTCTACTGCCAAATCACTAGCTGGCTCAAAAGCTCTTCTGTGGAATATTTACTGGGAGGTGGTTTCATCAGAAAAACACCTAATTTCATAGTATGTTAAACAAACTAGGGGGATATACACTGTGGTTCCTGAAGGTCTGTATTCATGGAACAACAGTATTTCCTTGATGCCACCTTTTCTTTCTTCCCTTTAGTCTACCATTGTTCTCCTTTATGCTAAATATACATGTTTCATCCGTTAGATTCTGTGAATCTTTTGAAATATTATGTGACAACAAAACCAGCCCATAGCTACCTGTTTTGGATGTCATCTGGCTTAAGTGCTTTCTCTAAAGGCCTGGTTCTTATGTAGGCCAGCCACTTATTGTTGGATGAATCATCACAATTTCAAAAGAACAGGCTGTTTAGACTTAGAGAGTTTACCCAGCAGACAGACGCAACCAATAAAGCAGGAAACAGAACATGCACGGGGTTACACAACAGAGGGAGGAGATCCTACACTAACTACATGTATAAGGTCTGCTCCAATCAGAATGGCAAAGAGAAATGGGTGTTTGGAAGCAGGACATTATGATATGAGTAATGGAGTGTGTGCTTGTGTATGTTCATACGGGTTTGTGCATGTATTACGTGCATGTGTGTAGTCCCGTGTAGCTCAGTTTGTAGAGCATGGTGTTTGCAACGCCAGGGTTGTGGGTTCGATTCCCACGGGGGGCCAGTATGAAAATGTATGCACTCACTAACTGTAAGTCGCTCTGGATAAGAGCGTCTGCTAAATGACTAAAATGTAAAAATGTGTGTGTGTGTTAGTTTATGTGTGAGTGGAAACAGTTTAATAGTATCCATTCATTGGCTGGCTGTATTATTGAAATGTTCAATTAGTTATTTGGCAGTAGATCTGTAGACAAAAGCAGAGATCAGACAAAGGCACAGAATTCTCTCAAAATGGCACTTGAAGCTCAGCACACACATAAGCTACAGCCATTACCAGCACTAACACACACTAATAAAGCCATGTTCCCCATTAATCAAACAGAACAGCCTTAATGACAGGCTGATGGTATTTTCAAACACAGTAGGCAAACACAATAAAGACAAGACAAAATGTCAGCGAGCACGAGCAGTGCTGCAGCACCAGCCAACAGCAGAAAAAGAGACAAGTGTAATCTTCCTCAGGATGAGTGTACCGGTAGTTGGTTTTGCCTGAACTCAGACACTGTAGACAGAGAGAGGCCTTAGACCAGACACACACACACACAGGGCTGCTGATGCTCTGTTGCCTGCTCCTGCACATGACTCACAGCCCTAGAATGCACAGATTAAGACAAAAGACTAAGCCTTGCTTGCTTTCCTGCTGGCTACTGTGAGGGTATATTTAGGAACTGTTGAGTAAGGTTAACTGAAATACAACTCAACCAAACAGCATCTGTTCAACATCTTTTCACAGTGGAACTCATCTTAACAGCTTATTTTCCAACCACTCCATATTTTCTCCACGTCTGATCTCTCAGAGAGCTGAGACCGATGGAGATGAATGGATGTGCTTGTCTGAGACTGAGGGGCCTTGTTGCTGTAATTGAGAAAACACATTAATCAAATCAAATTGTATGTATCACATGCTTGGTAAACAACAGGTGTAGACTAACAGTGAAATGCTTTGGGATAAATAGTAGAAAAATAATAACACAAGGAATAAATACACAATGAGTAACAATAACTATATACACAGGGTACCAGCACCGAGTCGATGTGCAGGGCTACGACAGACAGAAACTAGCTCCTGGCCATCAGGCCTGTGAGGTGGCACTGCCAACAGACTGACGTGTCCCTGCCATGTCTCTGACGCAGTCTGGAGTCTGCTCTGACACCATGAGTGGCAGGTGGGGAGGAGGATGGCAGGTGGTATTGGTGGGGGGCCAAGATGTTGGGCGGTGGGGGTCCAATCTGCCATTTAGAACCCATGAGTGCAAAGTGATAATGGAGGGGTGGTTGCGCCAGAGACTGTTATGGTGCTGTATATGTTCCTGGCCCTAACACAGGAGCGTACACACACACACACAGTGCCCTCGGCAGCTCACTAGAGCGTAAAAATACTGTTATTATTTTCTCCTCTCTGTTAACGTCCTAGGGGATAACCCAAATGGTGTGAGTTATGATAGAACTGGCTGTGGAGACACAGGTATATCTCTCTCTCTCTCTCTCTCTCTCTCTCTCTCTCTCTCTCTCTCTCTCTCTCTCTCTCTCTCTCTCTCTCTCTCTCTCTCTCTCTCTCTCTCGTCCCAGTGCTACTGACGTGGCGCGTGTGTGCTGTCTCCTGTGGCTGTGGCCAAATCCAGTGTAAGAGCTCCAGGCCTGGGGACATTCAGGCCGTTCCAACAGGGAGGAGGGATAGAAGCGTGCCTCTTGCCACCACAGGTGCCTCTCAGAGCGGAACTGTCACGCTCACCAGGAGAGAGAGAGAGCGTGAGAGAGCAAAAGAAGAGGCACAGAGCAAGAGAAAACACCCACTGGGCACAGACGTCAATTCAACGTCTATTCCACGTTGGTTCAACATGGAATAGACGTAGAATAGACGTGGAAACAACGTTGATTCAACCAGTGTGTGCCCAGTGGACAAGAGAGGGAGACCAAGAGTGTGAAAGATAAAAAAGTGAGAGAGAAAATGCAGAAAGACTGAGAGAAGGAAAGTGAGAGAGATAAGGAGAGAGAAAGCAAAGGAAAGAGAGAAAGCAACAGAGAGAGCACCAATGCTGACCTCTCTTTCTCTCTCTCTCTCCACCATCTCCCTCCCAGTGCCATCCTTCCAAGCAGGCAGCTAGGCATTACCCCACCAGCTGCTTCACTTCTCAACAGACTGGCTAACACTCTAAAGGAAGAGAGGGATGAGAAAAAGACAGAATGAAACAGACAGGAAAAGAGGGATGAGGAGAGAGAATAAAACAGGGATGGAGAGAGAGATATGATGAGAGAGAGAAAGAGAGCGAGAGAGTGGATGGGAGAGTGGAGTAGGTAACAGGGAGAGAAAGGGATGAGTAGGAGAGAGTGAAATAAGGAGAAAGGGAGTATAGTAAAAAACCCTATCATATTTATGTGCTGTGTGTATAATGTGGCCAGCTGTACTGGGATATTGATTGTGTAGATATTACCTTGGTTTCCTGGCCCCGAGGAGACTGGATGGGAACTAGATTTCATTTGTAGTTAACAGACGAGCAGTACGGAGGCTTGTCAAATAATCAACACTGCCGCCCGTGCTCCTTTGCTTTTAAATTAGCTGCATTCTCAGCCGCGATACTGCACAACGCAGCATTGATTTTCATACTCTGGCTTTTGACATTTAATTACACAAGTGAGGGGGTGAGAGAGTGAGAGTGAGATGCTATTTCGGCGCTCGCGTCTTTGCCGCTCTCTTGGCCAGCGGGTTGGAGAATTCATTTGGCAAAAGTAAATAACTAATTTCTCCTCAAAAGAGGAAAGCCTGGAGGTGTGTTTATCACGGAGCATGGAGAGTGAAAAGCCAGGGAAAAGACACACAGACACACACACACTCATGCATCTACACACTGTTCTCTGGGGCTCTGGGCAAGGGGTTGGAAGCCACACTCCAGTGGTTCGCTTTCTGGGTTGTACATTTCCACAGTAAACTATAGACCCTGATTAGATTAACTATAGTGGCAACCCTGATTAGAAGCACCTGCTGCTCATCGGTTGTTCTGAATTAAAAGAAAATTGTATCTACACGCTGAAGAAGGCGGTAAAGCCGAAACATCTGTGTACGCTATTCCTGATGCAGTGAAAATAATTTACAAAATTGAATAAAGAAGTAAGCTTTATGAGACACCTTTTTGTTTATGGGAGATGTCAACCTCCTCTGTGCCTCTATAACTCTAAATGTACTGTAAACCTGGACTGTATCTCTTCCCATATTGTACTTGTTCTGCCAATCAAAACCAGAGGGTGCATAGTACAAACCGCACTAACAGTATGAAGTGAGTCATAGCGTGCTGTAGTGTAGAGGCTGTGGATTGATATGGAGGTGTTGGAGGGAGATGATGCAGAGATGATGAGGGGGTGGAGTAAGGGTAGGGGGTGCCAAGCCTGAACAGTTTTCTTCTATTGTCTGAAGTGGAGGAGGCAGTGAGCAGCTCCCACGGAAGTGTCAGTCAGCCGGAGCACCGTTTACACTCAGGAGGACTAGGAGACTGTCTGCAGCCCACCTGTCAGAAGAGGTCCTACTGGAGCACAAACACACAACCAGATAGATGAAGACAGGTAGAGATGACACGAGAGAGAGAGAGAGAGATGACTGTTATATGAGTTTCTCAGGTATCAAGAATCAAGGATGCAAGGATATACTTAGACATTCTGTGGAGATTTCATACCCAAGTATTATTGAATCACGAGCTCGTGGGTTCATCTAACAAACGGACATGGCTTTGCCCTTCGTCAGTTGAACTAACTTGAACAAAGAAGACACTATCTTATATAGCCTTTATTACCATCTTCCTGGCATACATCTGGCAAGTCTCCATGGGCACTCCCTGTCTTTGATGTTCATCACTCTTTACCCCAAGTCAGTATCCTGCCCATCACTTATGCTATTCTAAACATCACTAATCTACCTTGACATAATGGAATGTAGACTTCATGGCCCCAAACCACTCATCTCTTAACTCTTCCTCTGTCCTCACAATACTATGACATGACATCATTACAGTGACCAAGAGAACAGGAAAATGAATTGCTTTCTGCGCCCATGCAGGGGCAATAAGCAGTGAAAAATAGAGTGAGGCTCAATAAAGGCTGTGATAAAACAGATGATAGTGCATTCATAATTGAACATGCATCGTGTTATGGCTCCCAGTCTCTCCCTGCACGCCTATTGCATACATACATTTTTCAACAGCTGCTTTAGATGCCAAATGAGACACATTAAGTCTATTGTTCAAACTCTCCTTCAGGCTTTACTGCTGTTTCTTTAACTGCTGTGGGTGTGAGAATGACAACATGAATATGTGCCTGCAAATCAGTGTGTGTGTCTGCATGCATATGTATGTGTGTGTGTGTGTGTTTATTTATTTATTTAACCTTTATTTAACTAGGCAAGTCAGTTAAGAACAAATTCTTATTTACAATGACGGTGTGTGTGTGTGTGTGTGTGTGTGTGTGTGTGTGTGTGTGTGTGTGTGTGTGTGTGTGTGTGTGTGTGTGTGTGTGTACTGCACAGTACAGTAAACCTGAGGAAGAGTAGGAATGACCTGAAAGCACAAAGGGAGAAGTGGTTGCCCTTGCAATCTCAATGACACGTTTGGGGGGGGTATTGAAAAGCCACTTGTGATTCCCCCAGCATGCTCGTTAGTGGCAGGCGAGGACATGTTAATGAACATGTGCTAATTTATTGGCCAGCAGGGTCGGCTATCGCTTAGAGACAGCAACCCAAGGTTCACTTCATTTGTCTAGCTACAGTATGGTCTCTCATTGCTAATGCCAGAGAGAAGCGCCACAGTATTGGCCCACTTTGATATTCTACTCCCCCCGGCTATTACTGCCAGCATGCAGAGTATCTGTCTGTCTGTGTGATACTTACCCATGAAATGAGAAGGTTGTCTTTGATTGCTGAGCAGTAAGAGCTGTATGAACACAGAGGCATGAAAGGATGAAATGCTGCAGGACCAGACCAGGGTCTTAGATCAGGCAGAGGCAAAGCAACTCAGTCAGAATCAGCCTTGGTTCAACACTCAGAGAGAGCAGCTCTCTGTGACAGATATACAGTACAGAGGTTGAAGGAGGAGTGCTCCTGTCTTTCCTAGGTCAGAGGGTCTGGTGGGCTGGGGGAGTGGGGGGGAGCGAGAGAGAGAGAGGCAGGTATGAGCTGAGTGAGAGGAGAAAAAGAGAGAAAGTGAAATTGAGAGAGAGGGGAAGAGCGAGAGACATAGAGAGAACAGCTGGTCTGAGCTGAGAGAGAAGGGCCTGTGGAGGCCAGAGAAGAACGTTCATTAAATAATGATAGGCTTTATTAATCAAGGGCAGCTGGAATACTGTGACAATGAGACTAGGCGGGAGACAGGGTTTGTGTGTGCGTGCTTGTGTGTGTGCAAGTTATTAAAGGCTCTTAAAATGGCGAGGGGAAATAGTGAGTGCAAACTGCAAGCCAACAGTTTGAGTGTTTTATTTGTTTGTGGTCTGTAGGCTGGACAAAATCTAATTTAATTAGCACTGTACAATTAGTTTACTAGCAAACACACACACAAACACCCATACTGCCTCACTCTTTCTATATCCCCCTCTCTCCTTGAAAGACTGCAGTACTTGTGTATGGACTTCAGCCGAGCTGTCACCCTCATTACACCCTCATGACACCCTCTTGCATTACCCATCTCATATGTATATACTGTATTCTATACTATATATTGCATCTTAGCCTATGCCACTCTGATAATGACATTGCTCATCCATATATTTATATATTCTTATTCCATTCCTTTACTTAGATCTGTGTGTATTAGGTTTTTGTTGTGGAACTGTTACATATGACTTGCTAGATATTGCTGCACTGTCAGAACGAGAAGCACAAGCATTTCGCTACACTCGCAATAACCTGCTAACCATATGTATGTGATCAATACATTTGATTTGATTTGATTGATTTTGACACGGCCCAGCACGCCACACACTACCTCCTGTCCTTCTGATGACTACGCTAACAAAGACATGCTGGTGTCTGCTCCCTCTCACGCACGCAGGCAGGCAGGCAGACAGGCACGCGCACACACCAGGGACAGAGTACTGAGTTTAAGATTTTTTCTTTAACGAGTCTGACGCAAAGGATTTACTCGAGATACCCGACCAGGCCCAATTCCCCGTCATTCGCATGAAGAGAAGACGCCGATACAGGGGATGCAGGTCCGGGTGCCTTGTGAGAACTCGTCGGCGAGTGGGTAACCCGCCTCTACCATCCGTCCTATTGGCCAACTTGCAATCATTGGAGAAAAAACAGGATGAGCTCCGTTCAAGAGTATCCTACCAACGGCACACTAAAAACGAATATCTTACGTTTCACCGAGTCGTGGCTGAACGACAACATGGATAATATACAGTTGGCTGGTTTTTGTGTGCATCGGCAAGACAGAACAGCTGCCTCCGGTAAGACAAGGGGTGGTGGTCTGTGTCTATTTGTCAATAACAGCTGCTGCGTGAAATCAAATATTAAGGAAGTCTCAAGGAATTGCACGCCTGAGGTAGAGTATCTCATGATAAGATGTAGACCATACTATTTACCAAGAGAGTTTTCATCTATATTTTTCGTAGCTGTCCATTAACTACCACAACTCGATGCTAGCGCTAAGACCGCACTCAACGAGCTGTATAAAACCACAAGCAAACAAGAAAATACTCATCCAGAGGCGGCACTCCTAGTGGCCGGGGACTTTAATGCAAGGAAACTTGAATTTACATTTTAGTCATTTAGCAGACGCTCTTATCCAGAGCAACTTACAGGAGCAATTAGGGTTAAGTGCCTTGCTCAAGGGCACATCTACAGATTTTTCACCTAGTCGGCTCCGGGATGAGAACAAGCGACCTTTTTGTTACTGGCACAATGCTCTTAACCACTAAGCTACCTGCCCCCTCCCCCAGACCCTAGGCCCATAAATCCGTAAATCCTCATTTCTACCAGCATGTGCAACAATAGGGAAAAAAACTCTAGACCACTTTTACTCCACACACAGAGACGCGTACAAAGCTCTCCCTCACCCTCCATTTGGCAAATCTGACCATAATTCTATCCTCCTGATTCCTGCTTACAAGCAAAAACTAAAGCAGGAAGTACCAGTGACACGCTTAATATGGAAGTGGTCAGATGACACAAATGCTAAGCTACAGGATTGTTTTGCTTGCACAGACTGGAATATGTTCCATGACTCATCCGATGGCATTGAGGAGTATACCACATCAGTCACCGGCTTCATCAATAAGTGCATCGATGACGTTGTCCCCACAGTAACCGTACGTACATACCCCAACCAGAAGCCATGGATTACAGGCAACATCCGCACTGAGATAAAGGGTAGAGCTGCCACTTTCAAGGAGCGGGACTCTAACCCGGATGCTTATAAGAAATCCTGCTATGCCCTCAGACGAACCATCAAACAGGCAAAGTGGAAATACAGGAATAAGATTGAATCCTATTACACTGGCTCTGACGCTCGTCGGATGTGGCAGGGCTTGCAAACTATTACGGACTACAAAGGGAAGCCCAGCCATGAGCTGCCCAGTGACACAAGCCTACCAGACGAGCTAAATTACTTCTATGCGTGCTTCGAGGCAAGCAACACTGAAGCATGCATGACAGCACCAGTTGTTCCAGACGACTGTGTTATCACGCTCACCATAACCGATGTGAGCAAGACCTTTAAACAGGTCAACATTCACAAGGCTGCAGGGCCAGACGGATTACCAGGACGTGTACTCGGAGCATGCGCTGACCAACAACCAAGTGTTTTCACTGACATTTTCAACCTGTCCCTAGCCGAGTCTGTAATACCTATGTTTCAAGCAGACCACCATAGTCCCTGTGCCCAAGAACACCAAGGTAACCTGCCTAAATGACTACCGACCCATAGCACTCACGTCTGTAGCCATGAAGTGCTTTGAAAGGCTGGTTATGGCTCACATCAACACCATCAACACCATCATCCCAGAAACCCTAGACCCACTCCAATTTGCATACCGCCCCAACAGATCCACAGATGACGCAATCTCTATTGCACTCAACACTGCCCTTACCCACCTGGACAAAAGGAACACCTACGTGAGAATGCTGTTCATTGACTACAGCTCAGCGTTCAACACCACAGTGCCCTCAAAGCTCATCACTAAGCTAAGGACCCTGGGACAAAACACCTCCCCCTGCAACTGGATCCTGGACATCCTGACGGGCCGCAACCCCAGGTGGTAAGGGTAGGCAACAACACATCTGCCACACTGATCCTCAACACGGGGGCCCCTCAGGGGTGTGTGCTCAGTCCCCTCCTGTACTCCCTGTTCACCCATGACTGCATGGCCAGGCACGAATCCAACACCATCATTAAGTTTGCTGACGACACAACAGTGGTAGGCCTGATCACCGACAACGATGAGACAGCCTATAGGAAGGAGGTCAGTGACCTGGCCGTGTGGTGCCAGGATAACAACCTCTCCCTCAACGTGATCAAGACAAAGGAGATGATTGTGTACTACAGGAAAAAAAAGAGGATTGGGCACGCCCCCATTCTCATCGACGAGGCTGTAGCTTCAAGTTCCTTGGTGTCCACATCAACAACAAACTATCATGGTCCAAACACACCAAGACAGTTGTGAAGAGGGCACGACAAAGCCTATTCCCCCTCAGGAGACTGAAATGATTTGGCATGGGTCAATCAATCAATCAATCAATCAATTTTATATAGCCCTTCGTACATCAGCTAATATCTCGAAGTGCTGTACAGAAACCCAGCCTAAAACCCCAAACAGCTAGTAATGCAGGTGTAGAAGCACGGTGGCTAGGAAAAACTCCCTAGAAAGGCCAAAACCTAGGAAGAAACCTAGAGAGGAACCAGGCTATGAGGGGTGGCCAGTCCTCTTCTGGCTGTGCCGGGTGGAGGTTATAACAGAACCATGCCAAGATGTTCAAAAATGTTCATAAGTGACAAGCATGGTCAAATAATAATCAGGAATAAATCTCAGTTGGCTTTTCATAGCCGATCATTAAGAGTTGAAAACAGCAGGTCTGGGACAGGTAGGGGTTCCATAACCGCAGGCAGAACAGTTGAAACTGGAATAGCAGCAAGGCCAGGCGGACTGGGGACAGCAAGGAGTCACCACGGCCGGTAGTCCCGACGTATGGTCCTAGGGCTCAGGTCTCTCAGTTGGCTTTTCATAGCCGATCATTAAGAGTTGAAAACAGCAGGTCTGGGACAGGTAGGGGTTTCGTAACCGCAGGCAGAACAGTTGAAACTGGAATAGCAGCAAGGCCAGGCGGACTGGGGACAGCAAGGTGTCAGCATGCCCGGTAGTCCTGACGTATGGTCCTAGGGCTCAGGTTCTCAGAGAGAAAGAGAGAACGAGAGAATTAGAGAGAGCATACTTAAATTCACACAGGACACTGGATAAGACAGGAGAAGTACTCCAGGTATAACCAACTAACCCCAGCCCCCCGACACATAAACTACTGCAGCATAAATACTGGAGGCTGAGACAGGAGCGGTCCGGAGACACTGTGGCCCCATCCGAAGAAACCCCCGGACAGGGCCAAACAGGAAGGATATAACCCCACCCACTCTGCCAAAGCACAGCCCCCGCACCACTAGAGGGATATCCTCAACCACCAACTTACAATCCTGAGACAAGGCCGAGTATAGCCCACAGAGGTCTCCACCACAGCACAAACCAAGGGGGGGCGCCAACCCAGACAGGAAGATCACGTCAGTAACTCAACCCACTCAAGTGACGCACCCCTCCTAGGGACGGCATGAAAGAGCACCAGCAAGCCAGTGACTCAGCCCCTGTAATAGGGTTAGAGGCAGAGAACCCCAGTGGAGAGAGGGGAACCGGCCTGGCAGAGACAGCAAGGGCTGTTCGTTGCTCCAGAGCCTTTCCGTTCACCTTCACACTCCTGGGCCAGACTACACTCAATCATATGACCTACTGAAGAGATAAGTCTTCAGTAAAGACTTAAAGGTTGAGACCGAGTCTGCGTCTCTCACATGGGTAGGCAGACTGTTCCATAAAAATGGAGATCTATAGGAGAAAGCCCTGCCTCCCGCTGTTTGCTTAGAAATTCTAGGGACAATTAGGAGGCCTGCGTCTTGTGACCGTAGCGTACGTATTGGTATGTACGGCAGGACCAACTCGGAAAGATAGGTAGGAGCAAGCCCATGTAACGCTTTATAGGTTAACAGTAAAACCTTGAAATCAGCCCTTGCCTTAACAGGAAGCCAGTGTAGGGAAGCTAGCACTGGAGTAATATGATCAAATTTCTTGGTTCTAGTCAGGATTCTAGCAGCCGTATTTAGCACTAACTGAAATTTATTTAGTGCTTTATCCGGGTAGCCGGAAAGTAGAGCATTGCAGTAGTCTAACCTAGAAGTAACAAATGCATGGATTAATTTTTCTGCATCATTTTTGGACAGAAAATTTCTGATTTTTGCAATGTTACGTAGATGGAAAAAAGCTGTCCTTGAAACAGTCTTGATATGTTCGTCAAAAGAGAGATCAGGGTCAAGAGTAACGCCGAGGTCCTTCACAGTTTTATTTGAGACGACTTTACAACCATCAAGATGAATTGTCAGATTTAACAGAAGATCTCTTTGTTTCTTGGGACCTAGAACAAGCATCTCTGTTTTGTCCGAGTTTAAAAATAGAAAGTTTTCAGCCATCCACTTCCTTATGTCTGAAACACAGGCTTCTAGCGAGGGCAATTTTGGGGCTTCACCATGTTTCATTGAAATGTACAGCTGTGTGTCATCCGCATAGCAGTGAAAGTTAACATTATGTTTTCGAATAACATCCCCAAGAGGTAAAATATATAGTGAAAACAATAGTGGTCCTAAAACGGAACCTTGAGGAACACCGAAATGTACAGTTGATTTGTCGGAGGACAGACCATTCACAGAGAAACTGATATCTTTCCGACAGGTAAGATCTAAACCAGGCCAGAACTTGTCCGTGTAGACCAATTTGGGTTTCCAGTCTCTCCAAAAGAATGTGGTGATCGATGGTGTCAAAGGCAGCACTAAGGTCTAGTAGCACGAGGACAGATGCAGAGCCTCGGTCTGACGCCATTAAAAGGTCATTTACCACCTTCACAAGTGCAGTCTCAGTGCTATGATGGGTCCTCAGATCCTCAAAAGTTATACAGCTGCACCATCGAGAGCATCCTGACTAGTTGCATAACCGCCTGGTATGGCAACTGGTCGGACTCCGCCGCAAGGCGCTACAGAGGGTAGTGCATACGGCCCAGTACATCACTGGGGCCAAGCTTCCTGCCATCCAGGACCTCTATGCCAGGCGGTGTCAGAGGAAGGCCCTAAAAATTGCCAAAGACTCCAGCCACCCTAGTCATAGACTGTTCTCTCTGCTACCGCACGGCAAGCGGTACTGGAGCGCCAAGTCTAGGTCCAAAAGGCTTCTTAACAGCTTCCACCCCGAAGACATAAGCCTGCTGAACAGCTAATCAAATGGCTACCCAGACTATTTGCATCGACCCCCCCGTTTATAAACTATTATCTATGCATTGTTACTTTACCCCTACCTACATCTACACCACCGGTCAAAAGTTTTAGAACACTTACTCATTCAAGGGTTTTTCTTTATTTTTATATTGTAGAATAATAGTGAAGACATCAAAACTATGGAACAACACATATGGAATCATGTAGTAACCAAAAAAGTGTTAAACAAATCAAAATATATTTTATATTTGAGATTCCTCAAATAGCCAACCTTTGCCTTGATGACAGCTTTGCACACTCTTGGCATTCTCTCAACCAGCTTCATGAAGTAGAATGCATTTCAATTAACAGGTGTGCCTTGTTAAAAGTTAATTTGTGGAATTTCTTTCCTTCTTAATGCGTTTGAGCCAATCAGTTGTGATGTGACAAGGTAGGGGGGGTATACAGAAGATAGCCCTATTTGGTAAAAGACCAAGTCCATATTATGGCAAGAACAGCGCAAATAAGCAAAGAGAAACGACAGTCCATCATTACTTTAAGACATGAAGGTCAGTCAATACGGAACATTTCAAGAACTTGTGAAGTCGCAAAAACCATCAAGCGCTATGATGAAACTGGCTCTCATGAGGACCGCCACAGGAAAGGAAGTCCCAGAGTTACCTCTGCTGCAGAGGATAATGTCACGATCGATTACGGACGAGAAGGACCAAGGCGCAGCATGATATGCATTCATATTTATTTACGGCTAACACACGACAAAACAACAAACGAAACGTGAAGTCCAAGATAGCATACAAACAACATACCTTACACCGAACAAGATCCCACTAGTGCCAACAGGCTACCTAAGTATGGACCCCAATCAGAGACAACGAGCTACAGCTGCCTCTGATTGGGAACCACCCTGGCCAACATAGATCTAAACGATCTAGAAACTAAACATAGAAAACACAACATAGAAACTACACACCCTGGCTCAACATTTAAGAGTCCCCAGAGCCAGGGCATGACAGATAAGTTCCTTAGAGTTACCAGCCTCAGAAATTGCAGCCCAAATAAATGCATCACAGAGTTCAAGTAACAGACACGTCTCAACATCAAATGTTCAGAGGAGACTGTGTGAATCAGGCCTTCATGGTCGAATTGCTGCAAAGAAACCACAACTAAAGGACACCAATAAGAAGAAGAGACTTGCTTGGGCCAAGAAACACGAGCAATGGACATTAGACCGGTGGAAATTTGTCCTTTGGTCTGGAGTCCAAATTGGAGATTTTTGGTTCCAACCACAGCGTCTTTGTGAGACGCGGTGTGGATGAACGTATGATCTCTGCATGTGTATTTCCCACCATAAAGCATCGAGGAAGAGGTGTTATGGTGTGGGGGTGCTTTGCTGGTGACACTGTCTGGGATTTATTTAGAATTCAAGGCACACTTAACCAGCATGGCTACCACAGCATTCTGCAGCGATTCGCCATCCCATCTGGTTTGGGCTTTGTGGGACTATCATTTGTTTTAAACAGGACAATGACCCAACACATCTCCAGGCTGTGTAAGGGCTATTTTACAAAGGAGAGTGATGGAGTGCTGCGTCAGATGACCTGGCCTCCACAATCCCCCGACCTCAACCAAATTGAGATGGTTTGGGATGAGTCGGACCGCAGAGTGAAGGAAAAGCAGCCAACAAGTGCTCAGCATATGTGGGAACTTCTTCAAGACTGTTGGAAAAGCATTCCAGGTGAATCTGGTTGAGAGAATGCCAAGAGTGTGCAAAGCTGTCATCAAGTCAAAGGGTGGCTACTTGAAGAATCTCAAATATAAAATGTATGTTGATTTATTTAACACTTTTTTGGTTACTACATGATTCCATATGTGTTATTTCATAGTTGTGATGTCTTCACTAATATTCTACAATGTAGAAAATAGTAAAAATAAAGAAAAACCTTTGAATGAGTAGGTGTTCTAAAACTTTTGACCAGTAGTGTACATATTACCTCAATTCCCTCGACTAACCTGTATCGCCGCACATTGTCTCGGTACCGGTACCCCCTGTATATAGCCTCATAATTGTTAGTTTATTGTTGCTCTTTTATTTTATTTTTTACTTTAGTTTATTTAGTAAATATTTTTCTTAACACTTATTTTTCTTAAAACTGCATTATTTGTTAAGAGCTTGTAAGTAATCATTTACATTTACATTTTAGTCATTTAGCAGACGCTCTTATCCAGAGCGACTTACAGTTAGTGAGTGCATACATTTCCATACTGGCCCCTGGCATTTCACGGTAAGGTCTACACCTGTTGTATTCGGCGCATGTGACAAATACAATTTGATTTGATTTGATCTCTCATCCTGTGGTCCTGGCGGTGTGGTGTGTGTGTGTGTGAGAGAGAGAGTTTATGAAGACATCTGTGTGCTGTTTCATTAGTCCTGACTCACACTTCACGTCATGGGGATATATGAGAGCTTCCCGTCATCGCAACTGTCCCCCAAGGAGTACATCCCCAACAAAGCCACTGGGTGTGTGTCTCTGTCTCAGGCCTTTAGTCAACACAACAATTACTAGGCCATGATTTACACTGCTTAGCTGAAGACAACAGTGAGCGCTAACACGCTCAATAACTCATCGGAATACATCTGCAGCACTAAATAGATTTATGCGTCAGAATAACATAACATGATTATGAGTGTCCACTCTCCGCCCCATTTATCTGTTCCCATCCCTCCTGTGTCTCATCACACAAACCCATCAAACCTCAATGTCTCAGACTGTTTATAATACTGAACTGTACGTATGACATGGCGGGGCTAAGAGACAGGGGGCCCTCCCTCTGACAGTGAAGGAGCATGGAAGATTGTATGTTCATTTACTCTGCAGACACTCCCCCATCGCATCAGTCATCATCACCAAACCCGTCTGATCATTCAGGTAAGCCCTGATAATGATTCTCCCATTCACTATATGGATTGTATGAATTGAAAGTGTCATTCAAGCCTCTTTGAAAAACAGTTGTTATGTCCCTACTCCAGCAGGGTTTGGATCTCTCATTAATTTGTATGCTCACTTATTTGATCAAGTATGCCGCCAGGTTTAAACATCTGAATACACACACACACACAAGTGCATGCACACACACACACCTAGCATGTGCACGCACGCACGCACCACACACACAAAACTGTAAATGTATTGCACAGCAACAAATCATTACTTTGAAGTCATGTACCATGAGCCCTAATTAAACTGCCAAGGTTTGCAGCACGCACAACTTATCATTACACTGAATAACAAAAAGTAATCCAACTCTGAGTGTACAAAACATTAGGAACACCTGCTCTTTCCATGATATAGACTGACCAGGTGAATCCAGGTGAACTATGATCCCTTATTGATGTCACTTGTTAAATCCACTTCAATGTAGATGAAGGGGAGGAGACAGATTAAAGAAGGATTTTTAAGCCTTGAGACAATTGAGACATGGATTATGTATGTGTGCCATTATGAGGGTGAATGGGCAAGACAAACGATTTAAGTGCCTTTGAACGGGGTATGGTAGTAGGTGTCAGGCACACCGGTTTGAGTGTGTCAAGAACTGCAACGCTGCTGTGTTTTTCACGCTCAACAGTTTCCCGTGTGTATCAAGAATGGTCCACCACCCAAAATACATTGTCACGATCGTCGTAATGAGTGGACCAAGGCGCAGCGTGAAATGCGTACATCTGAGTACTATTAACAATAACAAAACAACAAAACAATAACATAAACACAAACCTACACGGAAAAAGATCCCACAAAAGACAAGTGCACAACAGGCTGTCTAAGTATGGTTCCCAATCAGAGACAACGAGCCACAGCTGTCTCTAATTGGGAACCACCCCGGCCAACATAGAAACACATAAACTAGAACAAGAACATAGAAAACGAAACATAGAACCTAACACCCAGAAACTAACACATAGAAACTAACACCCTGGCTCAACATATAAAAGTCCCCAGAGCCAGGGCGTGACAGACATCCAGCCAACTTGACACAACTGTGGGAAACATTGGAGTCAACATGGGCCAACATCCCTGTGGAACGCTTTCGTCACCTTGTAGAGTCCATGCCCAGACGAATTGAGTCTGTTCTGAGGGCAAAAAGGGGTGCACCACAATGTCAGGAGGGTGTTCCTAATGTTTTGTACCCTCTGTGTACATGTATATTATTTTGAGTTGAGTGTAATTTCACTGAATATTCAACGGATGATAAATGTGAACCTATTCAACCCCTACAAACCACTCCACTCTAGATTTAATTGCAGTTGTATTGCAGAGTCCTAATTATGCTGAATGGATGTGAATAATGAGTCTGGCCACAGCTCTCCCTGGGTGAGTAATAGTGAACAGTGAAACCAGCTGTGGAGGGCTGCAATGATCAGAGGCTTCCCTGTCTGTAGTAAGCACCAGGCTGCACAGTCTGATGGCCAATCTGTAGACCATGCTGTCTAGACCATGCTGAAGTACTATATTGAGTCCATGTAAATAATACATGTACCCATTACTGTACCTACTGTATCCTACCCAGTACCCACTAGACAGTAAACTTAATTTGATTCATGTGTATCTTCTCTCTCCCTGTCTGTACTGTGTGTTTGCAGACAGCTTGGCGGCTCCTGTCAATGTGACCATCAAGGCTCTGAAGGCCAACTCTGCTGTGGTGACATGGGACATCCCCGAGGGGGACCTCGTCATCGGCTTCGCCATCACACAGCAGGTGAGAGAGAGGGAGCGCAGTGCGGGTGGGAGGAGACCCACACGCACAGACACACACACACACACACACACACTCACGCCAACAGGAGATCAAATAGTACTTCTCACCAATCGTTACCCACCGTCTCTCCATGGCGTCCCTGCGTTGCCGGCCAGCTGCTTGTTTTGCGGAACCGTTGTGTCACGGGACGTTGTGTTGCCGGAACGATCCCGTCAGAGCGCCTGTCTCCTCGACAACAGCAGTGGACAATGGCAGCTGTGTAAAGAGGGAAAGCAATAACATTTCCCACTTGCACACAGTCACTCTACCCTGCACAATGGTTAGGCTCCATTCTAGCCCATCAGGCAGATGATTTCCTGGTCCCAGAGGCCCAGCTAAGAGCCCTGATCCTGCCCATCTCCTGACTGATGCCCCCTCTCTCCACTCCTCCACATACAGCTCCTCCACACAGTCTATTTCTGTCTACCATTACTGTACAGTATGTGATAACTGGGAGTGAAGAGACTTCTATTCAACATCAGTGGATAGTTTTGTGATACACTGCTCACTAAAAGCCCCTCTGTGATAATGTGCCAACAGAAGAAGGACGTGCGCATGCTGCGCTTCATCCAGGAAGTGAACACCACCACCCGCTCCTGTGCATTATGGGACTTGGAGGAGGAGACCGACTACATTGTGCACGTGCAGTCCATCAGCGTGAGTGGGCCCATGAGTCCGCACAGCGAACCCCTGCGCTTCCGCACAACCAAGGAGGCCGAGACACAAGCCTCCAAGAGTAAAGGTAAAAATCTCAACAAACCTCACACACACACACAACTTTAGTATAAGACTGAAGCTAATACATAGAGTACCAATGGAGAAAACAAAGTCCAAAGCACTTCTCCAGGTTCCTGTACCTTGCTGTAATACATGTACAGTGCCAAAAAATGAAGAGGAAACCCTGTGCACAGCAGTGTGTACACATACAGTGCAGAGAGTAAAGCTTGCAGTTGGACTGTTGACAATCTTTCACTGATTCCGTAAGGACCAATACAAATAAATGGGGACACAAAGCGTGAAATTAAGTTAAACATCAAGTGCTCTTACCACACTTTATTAATATAACACCTTCAGGGTATACTTTGTGGTGTATTGATGTGCCTTCACCCCCAACTGCCGCCCGAGCCTGCCCTTTGCTCTACCTACAGTAAGGGGTAATGCTGAGGGAATGCGTTTGTCAAAGTGGGGATGAGATATTCAGGGCAGCACGATGCAAATCGATGTGCTTTTGGCTCGCACCGTTCCCTCACCCCCTCGCTCCTTTACTCCTCACAGACACTCACAGCCTCGCTCCTTCACTCACTGACTCCTCACAGACACTCACAGGAAGCAGAGGCAGGGGGCTTGTTGTTCTGGGAACACTTCTCAGTCACAGGAGCAAAGGCTCTTTGGGAACACACACACACACTTCTCCCAGGTAATTTAGCTGGGATATTCTCAGGATTCTCATCTATGAGAAACTAGCACAAAAAAATGCTACAACCAGCCCCATCAGACACATATATACCTACAGTCCTTAGGCCCAGACCAACCCAGAGCTAGACCACTATAGGTGGATGAGATGAGACGAGAACCTGTGCAGTGAAAGTGGTGTTAGTATGTGAGTGATTGCTGGGCTGAGGTGAGATAAATGTGAGGCTGATTTGTGCGTGTCTCAGAGAAGTGTTTGTTTCCTTGTGTACAGCCAGGCAGCCACTGTGATAAATGGCTGCAGTGTCGAGGCATGACTCAGCGCCGGTCGCATAATGATACAGCCTCCAAATCCCTCACTATCGTTCTACATCAGTGGTATTCAAACTTTTTCAGTGGGCACCACATTTTTTCAGCCGGAATTTCTTGGGACCCCATTTTTTAACAAGAATTTCACGCAACCCCACCACAAATATACTGACACAACCTTAAAATCGGTATATTTAGATTTTTACAGCAACAAATAACCTTCAATTCATTACATTTTAATCTCTTATGAAAATGAAAAGAAACAAATAAATACATTTACTCCATTTTCTTCCTTTTTCCCCCTCCAAAACGTAATCACACCTCTTGACTTATTCCACATTTTGTTGTGTTACAGCCTGAATTCAAAATTGATTAAATATAATTTTTTTCTCACAATCTACACACAATCTACACAAAATACCCCATAATGACAAAGCAAAAACAGGTTTTTAGAAATTTTAGCCGATGTATTAAACATAAAAAACTGAAATGTAACATTTGCATAAGTATTAAGACCCTTTGCTATGCGACTCGAAATTGAGCTCAGGTGCATCCTGTTTCCATTGAACATCCTTGAGATGTTTCTACAACTTGATTGGAGTCCACCTGTGGTAAATTCAATTGATTGGACATGATTTGGAAAGGCACACGCCTGTCTATATAAGGTCCCACAGTTGACAGTGCATGTCAGATCAAAAACCAAGCCATGAGGTAGAAGGAATTGTCCGTAGAGCTCAGAAACAGGATTGTGTCGAGGCACAGATCTGGGAAAGGGTACCAAAAAATGTCTGCAGCATTTCTGCCACACAGTGGCCTCCATCATTTTTCAATGGAAGAAGTTTGGAACCACCAAGACTCTTCCTAGAGCTGGCCACCCGGCCAAACTAAGCAATCGGGGGAGAAGGGCCTTGGTCAGGGAGGTGACCAAGAACCCAATGATCACTCTGACAGAGCTCCAGAGTTCCTCTGTGGAGATGGGAGAACCTTCCAGAAGAACAACCATCTCTGCAGAACTCCACCAATCAGGCCTTTATGGTAGAGTGGCTAGATGGAATCCACTCCTCAGTAAAAGGCACATGACAGCCCGCTTGGAGTTTGACAAAAGGCACCTAAAGAACTCTCGGACCATGAGAAACAAGATTTTCTGGTCTGATGAAACCGAGATTTAACTATTTCGCCTGAATGCCAAGCATGCTTCAACAAAGTACTGAGTGAAGGGTCTGAATACTTATGTAAATGTCATATTTCATTTTATTTTATACAAATTAGCAAACATTTCTAGAAACCTGTTTTTGCTTTGTCAGTATGGGGTATTGTGTGTAGATTGATGAGGGGGGAAAAAACAATTTTATCAATTTTAGAATAAGGCTGTAACGTAACATAATGTGGAAAAATGTAAGTGGTCTGATTACTTTCTGAATGTACTGTGTGTGTATATATATAATAATAAAAAACGTTGCATGTTATTTTGGCATTAATACGTGTCACATACAGTAGGGGAAAAAAGTATTTAGTCAGCCACCAATTGTGCAAGTTCTCCCACTTAAAAAGATGAGAGAGGCCTGTAATTTTCATCATAGGTACACGTCAACTATGACAGACAAATTGAGAAAAAGAAATCCAGAAAATCACATTGTTTTTAATGAATTTATTTGCAAATTATGGTGGAAAATAAGTATTTGGTCACCTACAAACAAGCAAGATTTCTGGCTCTCACAGACCTGTAACTTCTTCTTTAAGAGGCTCCTCTGTCCTCCACTCGTTACCTGTATTAATGGCACCTGTTTGAACTTGTTATCAGTATAAAAGACACCTGTCCACAACCTCAAACAGTCACACTCCAAACTCCACTATGGCCAAGACCAAAGAGCTGTCAAAGGACACCAGAAACAAAATTGTAGACCTGCACCAGGCTGGGAAGACTGAATCTGCAATAGGTAAGCAGCTTGGTTTGAATAAATCAACTGTGGGAGCAATTATGAGGAAATGGAAGACATACAAGACCACTGATAATCTCCCTCGATCTGGGGCTCCACGCAAGATCTCACCCCGTGGGGTCAAAATGATAACAAGAACGGTGAGCAAAAATCCCAGAACCACACGGGGGGACCTAGTGAATTACCTGCAGAGAGCTGGGACCAAAGTAACAAAGCCTACCATCAGTAACACACTACGCCGCCAGGGACTCAAATCCTGCAGTGCCAGACGTGTCCCCCTGCTGAAGCCAGTACATGTCCAGGCCCGTCTGAAGTTGTGCTACAGTGCAATTTGGATGATCCAGAAGAGGATTGGATAATGTCATTGGTAGATGAACAAAAAATTTTTGGTAAAAACTCAACTCGTCGTGTTGGAGACGCTGAGTTGGTCCAAAGAACACATACCTACGTGAGCATGGGGTGGAAAATCACCCTCTGCTGCAAGGGACCAGAAGATCCTTAAGGAAAGAAGAATGGGCCGATGTGAATTTTAGTGAAAACATCAAGGGCTTGAGATGAACATGGCTGGGTTTTCGCCTCGTCCAACCCCGCTCCGGCAACAAGGAGGGCTTCGTAGAAGCATTCAAGGTCGGAGTGGCCTAGCCAGCCCAATCTCAACCCCATAGAAAATCTTTGGAGGGAGTTGAAAGTCCATGTTGCCCAGCGACAGCCCCAAAACATCACTGCTCTAGAGGAGATCTGCATGGAGGAATGGGCCAAAATACCAGCAACAGTGTGTGAAAACCTTGTGAAGACTAACAGAAAACGTTTGACCTGTGTCATTGCCAACAAAGGGTATATAACAAAGTATTGAGAAACTTTTGTTATTGACCAAATACTTATTTTCCACCATAATTTGCAAATAAATTCATTAAAAACAATGTGATTTTCTGGATTTCTTTTTCTCAATTTGTCTGTCATAGTTGACGTGTACCTATGATGAAAATTACAGGCCTCTCTCATCTTTTTAAGTGGGAGAACTTGCACAATTGGTGGCTGACTAAATACTTTTTTTCCCCACTGTATCAGATTGAAAACAATAAAGCCGCATACCGTTAATAAAGTTAATAAAGCCGCATACCGTAATGTTCTCTAGTTGCGTCGTGATTGGCTCAGTGTTCTGTCACTCATGGGGACACTACGTCACCGCAAAATCTACGGGGAAAGCTAGAAAATTCAAGCCCCTTGGGTGCTGCCATAGAGTTACATTAGAAAACACATCCAAGAAGGCTCAAGGTCATTGGCCACAGATAAAATGATGTCAAATCACATTATATCTACCATAGCTTTGATTGGACTGATCATGTCAACAACATACTTTCAAAATCTTAGCTAGCAAGCTAGACAAGCAGTCATCATTATGAATCAAGTCGACAATCTACAGGCAAATCCTTTTCAATCCTTGTCATATGAAGAGAAATTATAGATAAAACGTATCAGTGCTCATCGGCCATTGGACATACAGTGGCTTGCGAAAGTAATCACCCCCCCTTGGCATTTTTCCTATTTTGTTGCCTTACAACCTGGAATTAAAATTGATTTTTGGGGGGTTTGTATCATTTGATTCACAAAACATGCCTACCACTTTGAAGATGTAAAATACGTTTTATTGTGAAACAAACAAAAAAATAAGACAAAAAAACAGAACTTGAGCGTGCATAACTATTCACCCCCCCAAAGTCAATACTTTGTAGAGCCACCTTTTGCAGCAATTACAGCTGCAAGTCTCTTGGGGTATGTCTCTATAAGCATGGCACATCTAGCCACTGGGATTTTTGCCCGTTCTCCAAGGCAAAACTGCTCCAGCTCCTTCAAGTTGGATGGGTTCCGCTGGTGTACAGCAATTTTTAAGTCATACCACAGATTCTCTATTGGATTGAGGTCTGGGCTTTGACTAGGCCATTCCAAGACATTTAAATGTTTCCCCTTAAACCACTCGAGTTTTGCTTTAGCAGAATGCTTAGGGTCATTATCCTGCTGGAAGGTGAACCCCCGTCTCAGTCTCAAATCTCTGGAAGACTGAAACAGGTTTCCCTCAAGAATTTCCCTGTATTTAGCGCCATCCATCATTCCTTCAATTCTGACCAG